AGCCTGGTCTACATAGTGAGTTCCAGGACAGCTGGGGCTACAGGGAGACCCTGCCTGAAAAAGACATAAAAAAAAAAAAAAAAAAAGAACAATCTAAGCCAGATGTACTAGTGTGTGCCTACAGTCCCACAGCCCAAGAGCTCAAGTATGTCCTAGGCAATTTAGCAAGACTCCATCGCAAAAAAAGTCAACAAGAAAAAGAGCAACCTAAAGTTGGCTGTAAATGCTAGACAGGGTAGCACACTATGGTAATCCTAGCTCAGGCAAGAGGATTGTAAATTCGCGGTCAGCCTGGGCTATGTAGTAAGACCCTATCTCAAAGAGTTAAATAAAATAGATCATAAATGAGTGTTATTTACTGCAAAGTTAAGTGAATCGAAATTCTAACCAAAGAATAAGGTATTTTTTAAAAATAACCAAGTACAACCAAGGAATCAAAGGCAACTTCCAGATATGAAAAGTATTATTAGCTAGGCATGGTGGTGCAACCTTTAATCCCAGCACTTGGGAGGCAGAGGCAGGTAGATCTCTGTGAAATTAAGGCCAGCCTGGTCTGTATAGAAAGTTCCAGGCAACTAAGGCTACAGGGAGACCCCGTCTCAAAAAAAAAAAAAAAAAACAATTCTATTTTGAGGCTGGAAAGATGACTCAGCAGTTAAGAGCACTGTTTGCTCTTGCCTAGGGCCCAGGTACAATTCCCAGCACCACATGGTGGCTAACAACTCCAGTTCCAAGGACTCCAACACCCTCTTCTGGCCACTGAGATGCAAGAACACAACACTGGTGCCCTTACATACATGCAGGCAATACACTCATACACATAAAATAAATACGTGAGCGTGTGTGTGTGTGTGTGTGTGTGTGTGTGTGTGTAAAACAGAATGCAATATACAGTGGCAGAGATGGAAATCACCTAAGCTCTGAAACAAAGATAGAATGAAAAAAATCCAATGTGCTTCTAATAAGGACACCAGAAGGAGAGAACACACAAAAACTCCAAACACACTTTAAAACAAGCATGCAAAATTTGGTCAAGTCTAAAACCAACCAAGCAGGGGACCACATTGATCTTTCAGGGGGTAGGTTAATTCTTATACTTCTCTGTCATAGAGAAATGCTTCTTTTCTGAACCTTATACAATATTTGGGGCAGGGAAGGCTAATGCGATGGCTCATTGAGTAAAAATGCTTGCCACACAAGCCTAATGAACTGAGTTCAGGTGACAGGAACTCATGTAAAAAAGCCAAATGTGGTAGCGTACATCTGTAATCCCAGCACTCCTGAGACAGGAAACAGAGTCCGAGACGGGAGGATCCCTAAAAGCTCACAGGCCTGCTAGGCTGGAGTCTGCAGGACAGCAGCAGAAGCAAGAGATGCTGCCTCAAGAAATGATAGAAGGAGAGAACTGACTTCTGAATGCCGTCCTCTGACCTCCACTTGTGCACTGTGGCATTTACGTACCCCCCCCCATTTACACAGATTACACATAGAAATAAATAAGTTGGGTGTGGTGATGTACACCTTTAATCCCAGCACTCAGGAGGCAGAGGCAGGCAGAGCTCTCTGAGATCAAGGCCAGCCTAGTCTTTCATAGTGAGCTCCAGGCTAGCTGGAGCTACAGGAAGACCCCTGTCTCAAATCATTCAATCAATTATTAATCCAAATAAAAAATGTATTTTGGTTTGAAAAAAGTATTGAAATACTGACTGGTGGTAAGTTTATGCTGACAGAGGTCCACCCATGCACATGAAAATACTGCCAAGCACATAGTAGGTACACAATGAATATTTAATAAGAAAATTAAATGACAAACATGGATCTTGCAAAGAAAGCACCTAACATCATTCTGGGCACAAAGAAGGTACCTGACGTTTGAATTAACTTAGAAAGCTTTAAAAGTCAAGATTGTTCTGTCTGAAAAATATGTTAATGAGAGCCTACATTAGGTTTTCCCCATACAGTGTCACAAAAGCGTCAGTCCCTTATCAGGA